TTATTTGTAGGTGTTGATGCATAAAGGTCTTCACCTGTTTTCAGAGTCCTGTTAAATCTCTCCGTTGGATAACTCTCTTCTAATTCAGTGAGTTAGCCGAGTGAATGAGTTTTTGTGCCCGCAGGTTCTTGAGCTGGCAGGAAATGCATCCAAAGACTTAAAGGTGAAGCGTATCACTCCCCGTCACTTGCAGCTTGCAATCAGAGGAGATGAAGAACTGGACTCTCTTATTAAGGCAACAATTGCTGGTGGTGGTATGTAATACTGTCCTCTTACCCTTGCATTAAAGTCTAACAGATCATGTTTCTAATATACACACCCTGATTTTTGTATATATACTCTTTTTCTGGGTTTTACATGACTAGGAAATAACTTCCATTTAATTTCTTGCCTTGTGTTTTTATTTTAGGTGTAATACCACATATCCACAAATCGCTTATTGGAAAGAAAGGACAACAGAAAACTGTCTAAAGAATATCAGGATTCCTTGTTATCTCAGGACTCTTAAGTACTCAAACAATTGTCCAGTGTTGGTGATTCCAGTGGACTGTATCTGTGAAACACAATTTTGCCTTTTTGTAACTTGAGAAGCTAAAGCTCACTGAGCTGTCTAACAAACCAAATTTCTGCATTGAAGTCTTAACCATATTTAAGTGTTACCATGGCTTCAAAGAAGCTATTGTATTTGTAGTGGGTTTTGATTGAGCTGACTGTTTTAAATCGGTTGATTTTTAATGTGAAGCAGAAGTAAAAGGAAATGTTTTGGTTTTGTACAGACTTTTCATCCACTAGAGTGGAAATGTTCAATAAATGTTATATCAATAGCAGTAATGGTCTCTTTCTTTCTTTAAATCTGCCTTTAACAAAAGGTGTGATGGATTCCCTTCCCGTAAAAGATCTAGTAGTAAGATGACACCTTCTAATCAAAAGCTGCAGGCTTGAAAGCACCTTAAGTTGGAGGAAACTACTTTTAATATAATTCTGCTCTTGCTTACAACTTACTCTCATCTATAGCTGTCTTGAAGGCATAATGATACTGGGGGGGGGGAGAACTAATTAACCCATCTTCAGTGGAGGTGGAATTGTGTTTTCTGAAAAGAAGTGATGAAAGCAGGAAGGGAGAAACTACTTTAAAATGTATCCAAGCATTTCTTTTTCCTTCCTGCACCACAAACTGCCCTCCCTTCCCATGTACATGCACATTCTTGGATTGCTGCAGTTAAATGAATTGATGTTTAATTTCTGACTTGTCAACATTCAATAAAAATTGTTATTTTTTAAAAGATGGTCTTCAGTAGGTGAAGGCATCATTATATTTAATGCTCCCCCTCATTATAACATGTTTAAAACTTAATTAGTCTTAATGGAAATAGTGAAAAGCAAATGCTTGAGTGCCTGATACCAATCTTAAGCAAGCCTAGGATCTAGGAATCTATGCAGCAGATGTAAGTCTTCAATATATTTGAGTAACAAGGGCCAAAATGTAACATCCACTGAATTAGCGGGTGATCTGACACATATTGAAAATATTTAAATTTACTTTTTTAATACATGGTTTAGATAGATCTCCTAAAACTCAGGGCTCTTGTCTATGGTAGGCAATTGTTTCTGTGTTCTTCCTTGGAGGTTGCATAGGTGCCACAAGTTGGAGGAGAAGTGGGAGGAACAACATGGAGCCTCCACTGCTGCTTTCTATGTTAATTTCTGACAGGTGTACCATTTGACTTAGTAGTCCTGAATCTTTGCTTTACAGCCACTTAAGTCTACTTCTGTTCCTTTACACACAGATTTTAGAGTGAACATGCAATTGCGGAAGGGAACAGTAAGGGAGCAGAGATGGGGGGGGAGGGGGCATGTAACTTAGTGGCCACAATTTTACATTTGCGAAGCTGATGTGCTGCTACACTCAATTCAGGTCACTTCTGGAGTTAGTATATGGTAACACTAATATTACAGGGGCTCTCTCTCCCTCCCCCGTGTCCTACTTAATGTTTTGAGTAAGCAGCAATTGGAGCTAGTCACAGCGGTGCAGCTCAAGCCCCAGAAAGCTCCCGTGCCCCTTCCTATCCAGCTGTCAGATGGGTAATTGAAGTCAAGTCGGGTGCTGCGCGGTGGTAACTTGTCACCTGGGGCGGCCCTCTGTGGGGTGGCGGGGAAGCGGCCGGCTAGGGCCGCCTGCGGCCTCTGCGCAGGGGGGAAGGAGCGTCTCCCCCT